ACATTTTCCTTAGCGGTTTCGTGTCCTGGGTTGGCAAATCGTCGATTGAAATTTTGGTGGATGTTTGGCAGAATGACTCGTTGGTGACAGATGCTGCTTTTGTTTTTGTGTCGAGAGATCCAGTTGGCCTGGGACCTACTCCAGTGAATCCCTTGAAAATTGAGTCCCCCGAAGACCAGCATTATTTTTCGGTTTGTGCGAATCGGAATCCTTCTGCTTGATGTATATGTCAAATATTCTCAATATACTTTGCTCAATTACGGAGTGACAAATGGAGAAGGATAATTTAGACATGGAAAGTGAGAAATAATTAAGGTTTTCAGGCAAAAAGTAGGTCCATAAATATTAAGTCATCATTCCCCTTCCACTAGTGTTCACCAACCCAAGGTCTGTGGACCAGCACAGGTCTTCAGAATTGTTTTGCCTAATTTTCTTTAGAGAAATGTTCAAGTAGCAATGAAGCCTCTTATTTTTATCTGAAATTTTAGGAAGACAATGGCAGTTGAAATTATTTGATGAAGAATAAAAGTAGGCTTTTCTCCTGATTATGCTACAGATGCATTTTCACCTCCCAAGAAAAATTGGTACTTTCCTGTTATCTCAGTACAGTACCTACTTTCTGTGCACCTACCAGAAACTGAATTTCATTTTTCCACATTCTGCTCAAACTGATTTAGGGAGCGGTTAGGTCAAGTTAGGTTAGGTCAGGTTATGTTAGTTACAAATATCTTCAAATTAACATAACCTGACCTAACCTAACCTAAAAAATACTGAATTCACGAGACAAAGAAAAATGGGTACTGAGATAAAACAGGAAAGTGCCAAAAAAGTATTTTTATTTTTAATTCTGAGAAACTTTTCTTCAAGACCACCTTTTTAATTCTTTTGAAAACATTCCAAAAAAGCTGCTTCATTGCTTCTTAACTTAATTTTTGCAACAAAAGCAGAAACTTTCCAAGCGCCCACCAAAAATTTTTTTGAGGATGCGAAAATTTATGAAACTTCGTTGGTCAGCATTCAGCAGACAATTGTTTTTGGAAATTTGCCCATCTGCAAAATATTTCATGGAAATTTCATGGTTTGTGGGCTGAAAAAGATTGGAGAACACTGCATTAGACCAACACAAACGGGTGCAGGATTTTGAGAAACATGATCCAGTGTGTAGAACGTTTTGTGCGACATCTATACTGAATCAAAACGTATCGCGATCTGAAGTATTTCCTCGCATTCACGCGATGAAGAACCTTTTCGGCACATATACGATTAAGTTATCTAGTATTTTATAATTTTAAAGAAAGGTGCCGCAAACACCGAGATGCGGAAGCGGTTTGAGGAGAACAACTTGTTCCGGACGTTGCCGAACAAGGAAGAAAGCGAATTGCTCCACAGACAATTTCTCGCTTCCGTCGAGTCGCGTGTGTTTCGCGGGGAAACCGACAACCGATTGGTCGCAGCTAGAGGCGGCATCTATGCGCGAGACACGCAATCTGAGAACGTAATGATCTGCCATCCTGAAGACAAAAATTTGAACAACAAAATTTTTGGCGGACGAATGATGCGACAAGCGTTTGAACATGCCTGGGGGGTCGCTATGCTTCATTGGTACTCACCCCCCTTTTTTTTTTTTTTTTTTTTCCACAGGGTGGACTAGAGTTTTCTGCATTTAATTATCGCCCTTACTGAAACCAATTCATATTTTCAACATTCTTGAATTAAAATGCTGACCGTACCCTCGTAGAATTTTAAGCGCGGTAATTCAGACCAACATTATGTTAATTCGTTTGGTCGATCATTTTACATGTGATAATTTCAATCATTTTTGACGTACCTCGTTCCAGATCATTCTATTTTAGTTCTGGTCCACCCCTGTGCATCAGTTTTCCTTCCGAAGTGATAAAACACAAAGAATTTCTTTTCTTTTTGCAATATAGCCGTGGTCGACCGAGGTTAGTCTGCATTGACGACATTTGGTTCCGAAAGCCAGTCGACATAGGTTCCCTCGTTCAATTTGTTGCACTGGTGAGTAGCGACACCTGGGACGTTTATATAGTACAAGCAAAAAGGCGAAGTGTGAAATGTTTCGGGTAGATGTCGGTAACGACTTTCCTCC